AGTACCATTGCAAAGACCCCATTTACTATTAAGATTTCTCAGTAGCATGATGATTGCACCTACTTTCAATTTTAATTTATGACATAGCATTCCCAAAGGAGTAATACTCTTAAGAAACTCAATGGAAAAATTTCCCTTTTCGGCATCAACTGTTAAATCAATGGAACCATCACTCAAATAGGTGTGAAAATTGCTGCTTTCTTTCAGCTTCAGAATGTCAACAAAAACAACCAAATTCACACTCAACAATGACAGATCAAAACACATGCGTGCGATCGGCGCCAGCGAGAGCTTTATATGTATTGTCCATGCTCGAATGAACGTTTATTTTTAAATTGCCAGGGCACGTCATATGTACTGGCCAGCCGACTAGTCAGATGGTCAGATGGATGGTCAGACGTACATACGGTTGGTCACTTAGCCTTTTACATGTGCCAGTGAGATCTTTATATGTATCGTACCTGTGAGAGTTAATGTTTATTTTTAAATTGCCAGTGCACATCATATGTACCGGCCAGCCAGTCGGTCGGATGGTTGGACAAATGTATGGTCAGTCACTTAGCCTCTTTTTACATATAAATAGACAATTTTTGGAAATAGCCCAAGTGTCCATCAATACATGAGTGGATAGAAAAGCTGTGGTACATTTGCACAATGGAATACCACTAAGCTGTAAAAAAAGAGGGAAATCTTACCTTTTGTGACAGCATGGATGGACCTAGAGAGTATTGTGCTAAGTGAAATAACCCAGTCAGAGAAAGACAAATACCATATGATTCCACTTACATGTGGAATCTAATGACCAAAATAAACTAACAAACAAAATAGAAGCAGACTCATAGATACAGAGAACAGGCTGACAGTTGTCAGAGGGGAGGGGGTTGTAGGGCTGGGTGAAAACATAAAGGGATTAAGCAAAAAAAAAAGCGGGGGGGAGGAAACGAAAGAAGAGAAGGGAAGGGAAGGAAAGGGAAGAGAAGGGAAGGGAAGGGAAAGGAGGGGAGGGGAGGGGAGGAGAGGGGAGGGGAGGAAGAGGAGAGGAGAGGAGAGAAGAGAAGAGAAGAGAAGAGAAGAGAAGAGAAGAGAAGAGAAGAGAAGAGAAGCGCTCACATGACCCAACTCCTGCTATGTGCAAGGAGGGGAAATCTGATGAGATTCTGGTACAGTTTCCCTCAAAGAGGAACATGCTTATGGCCTTTCGGCCTCCTTACAGGACAGCAGCATGTGTGTTTATAAAGTGCTTTTCAACTTAGTGGGGTTTGTGTATGTGTTGTTTTGTTTTTCACTTCTATCGCAATCATACATTTATTGCTGGTTTGCTCCCAGCCCTCCATATGGTTGCTGAGGGAGATCATCTGTAGAGGGAGGACTCGGAACTGATGAGGCAGTTGAGGGGCTCCAGCTGGGAACCTAAAATGTACCTACACTTCACAGACTGCGAGTGCTGGGGGGCAGAAGGAGGAGACATTAGAAAAGGGAAGGAGGGATCCAGGGGCTGTGCCCAATGTGGTCAGGTCG